GCCCAGGTTTTGGCAACGGTGGGCACCTAAAAAAGGCATTGCAAGCCCTAATAAATTAGCAGCACAAAAATAAACTTATCGTGGCGGCAGGCCGACGGATACGTGGAACAATAAGTAGAGCAAAACAAACATCGAAATACAATTTCAGGAGCGGAAAGTTATAACTGTGTTCGAAATTTTTTCAGTCTTTGCAACTTTGAGTTGCAAGCCGCGACTGACAGAATAAGTTTCGGAAACATCTACCGATTTCTTTGGGTATATTGATTATATCATTTTTGGAATGATGAACTCAATTCATTATTGATTTTAGATTTAAATCTCCGAATAAGGATATTTCATCAGAGTAAAGTGAATTCTGTACGTAGGTGGATTGACTTAATTTGTGAGTAATTGTTCGATCGATGAAACTGTGGATAGAACGATGCTTGAAAATGAGTTCGCGAATATTAATGATAATTTTCATAAGTTAGAAATATTGTTTTTTTTATTCAAATGGTAACGATAAGAGTTCAGTGTCAAAACCTGCTCGTGTAAACTCTCTCTCGTATCATAATAGTTCAAAGTTGATGTCTGTCAACAATTATGATTTTCCTCAAGACTGAAATTCTGCTTCATTTGGGAATTAAGTTATTGCATTCATATTACCACTACCAACGCATGGCTGTGGCTCAAGCGCTCATCACATATGCTCGAACTTCCACCTCTGGAAATTTTCATCTTCAAACAATAATATCGTTTGAAGCAATTAATTTTCTCAAATAATAGTCTACTAATGAAAATACTGTCAAACAGGAGAATCAACTTTACTGCTGATAATCTAATAAGCTACTAAAAATCATCTTCAACAGAGATAATCGCTAAACTATTTGACTGCAGATTATCTGCTTAAATGCTTAAATATTGCTAATCATCTTCATTACTAGTATTATTATTAAGAGTATACTAAATTACTGGGAATCTCTTACACAACTGATAATCTACTATACCATTGTTAATCAGCTTCATATCTAGTAATATCCTTCGTTCCTGAGAATCTATTTCACTACTGATAATGACTCTTGATAAGTTAACAAAAGAAGAATATTCTTCACTTCATAAGAATCTCACTGACATTATGGGCTCTTCTGTTTCGTAGTTATCGTTCGTCTTGGCAAATGACTATGCAGCGGCCGCTTGGCCAGAGTACGTACAGGAGGCGGCTGGGCATCTAGCCCTTCTAAGTAAGCCAAGGAAATTTGTTAAGAAACTCCCTGCACTAAAATGCAATCTCGGGAGTGAGCAGCTTACTCCATACATCATGGCTGCCACGGAAGAAAAGCTTATAAGGAAGCTTTCCGCCCGAGGTTCGGTTGCCCTCTTGTATTTCTCTTTCCTCCTTCTGAGGTTAGGCTGGGCCTTTAGGCAGCCGGTACCTTCAACTCTGGGCTGAAATTCGATTACTTCATTTAACGCAAGAGTACGATGAGATATCGCTCAATTTAAGGCTAAGTCGAAACGAATGAAAAACGTCAGCATAAACATTGCTTTAATTGCGATGCACTGTGCATTTGAGGATTTCTATCAAAGATCTAATTATTTGTCTGAACAAAATTTAAACTTGAATTCGCCAGTAAAATCCACTACCACAAAATTTGTTTTGTTTGTCGATATAACTTTTTAATAAACGCAGAAGTCAATTTGTCTCAGCGCTCTTACGTAAAAGACAAAACGTATTTACGCGTTTACTGCCGGTACCTTCAACTCGGGGCTGAAATTCGATAACTTCATTTTACTCAAGATTACGATGATAAATCGCTCAATTTAAGTCACAGCCGAAACAAAAGGAAAACGTCAGCATAACCAGTGTTTTGCGATGTACTGTGTTTATGTGTATTTCTATCCGGGTCTATTTATTTGTTTGAACGAAATTTAAACTTGAATTTGCCAGTAAAAATCCACTACCACAAATTTTGTTTTGTTCATCGATATTACTTTTTTACTATATGTAAAAGCCAATTCATGTACAATACGTTCATGTACGTTCATGCTCAGTACGTTCATGTACAATACAAAACATATTGATATGTTTATCAAAAATAAAACGACAAAAAAGCCGTCCACGCTAGAGGCGACTCTCCTTCATCACGCAGCTTTGTGAGGCAGCAATCTGACTGAAGCAGCGGAGCCATTTTCTCTACAATATCATTTATTTTTCGGCTCTCCCCAACCATTACCCTCAGCTCCGTTCTTTTATCACTGGTTCGCAGTAGCCATCGCTCCCTCTGCCCTACTCTGCACCAGGCAAAGGCCTGCAATATGAGTCATCTTTCCCTCATACCCTCGCTCACCTCTCACTGCCATCACCAGGATATCGTGCCGAGTCCTGAGAAGGTCATCATTCCTCGCTAAAGTTAGATAGGAAACTGACCTTCTTCAGCTACCGGACTACCTCATACGGGCCTCTTTATTGTACTCATCATAATGTCCTCTTCACACAGCCTTGATATGCACAGTAAGTGAACCGCTTCTCTAATCAACCTCTGCTGCACACCACTCACATCCTCCTTTCTGAACACATTTAAAAAAACATTTGGACATCCTACCAATTCCAAAGTTAGTATGTAAAATTGAAAGCCCAGTGTAGCATTTTATAATCGCTGCTAAACTCTTGCAAAGAGTCATCAATCGCCCTAAACAAACTTTAATTCAACTCCCATAACGCCGTCTACGTTCACCCTCTATCAAACAGCACGAATGAAATGGAATAAACTAAGCAGAATTTCCTCACTGCATGCTTTTGACTACATTGAAATCATATTTCCGTTTAACCCGACCCCATTGCAATAATCCAACTATTATAATGTGTTTGAAATGGCAGTTAATGCGACTCAGTGCGTTTTCATTGCCAGCAAAACTGCCTTCATGCAGAGGCATGCTCATCGCTGAAGAAGAAACGATGCGATCGTTCGGGGAAGCTGCCGAGCATTTCTGAGCCGCGTGAGCGTGGCAGCTCTAATCTTGCGCCCTGCATACCGGCTGATCATCAGCAAAAAAATTAATCGCGGTTCTATTTACATTCGTTGAGACTCGGCCAACGCTGGCACACACTCCGACGTGACCTCCGTGTGTACGTGGGCATTGATTCTGTACGCTTGTACACTGACGCCGTTGGATGCGCAGCTCCGTGAATACGCATTTCACAGCACTACCTATATTAGAAACGAATTCTGCACTCATATACTGGCTAAGAGCTATTATTCACGGTCATATGCACGTCGTGAATATCGTGTATTACACTTTCTTCAAGAGGAGCATTTTGCTACCGTCAGCTCACAAATAGGCGCACGCAGCTTTCAAATGCACTAATTAGTGACTACGATGGTGTTATTTATTTCGTGACTAAATCATGTTGTATGAGTTTTCTTTTGCATTTTTTAAAACCGTTTCATACGACACTTTAACATTTATCCGCCGTAGGGAAAATCTCAACGTCGATAAAAATAAATTTCTCTCCGCGTGACAGAACATGACAGAATGTAGGTAAACATAATCGAAAAATCTGAAATTAATGATAATTAATTAATTTTGAGGGGTCTGCCTAGCAGGATGGATGCCCGTAGCCATTCCACCGCATTTCTCGTGTAGGGAGTAATAAAACCTGAGACGGAGCACGGGTTAGAGTCCTGCGTCGTTAGGAGGAAGGGAAGAAGCTTCCCTAATTGAATTAATCGACGAGTTAAGACGCGGCCTGCCTCCTCAATTTCAATTTATACCGGAAATATCGGCTTTCGTGATGAGCCAGCCAGGATTTTCAACGCGGTAACAGCTATGGCCTTAGCAACGCCCATGATGCTTTCTACACAAGCCATTGTTGCTATTGATTCAACCCGGGCGTCCTATTTATACTAGTTTACATAAGACATGCATTATACAGATCTAAATTATCCAAGCCTATGTTAAGCACCCTATATTATGTACACCTAAACAATACAGAACTATGTTTTGCGAATCACATTATTATATGTATGAAATCGCGTGCTGATGATAGAATGTAATTTTGTTTTCGTCAGTGAAGTGAAAGCCTTGATTTGTTAACCGCATTAAAGTGAAACTCAGTAAAATGAACAACCTGATGACTAATATATGTTCGTAATACTACAGATTTGCCTGGCCAGGCGGCTTTCATCGAATCGCTGATATTTTTTGTCTTTGTTTATTTTATATTGAGAATAAATATGATAATAAATTATTGAACCTGATATTTATTATTATTTAATATTATGTTTTCCTCAGTCACCAAAATTCTGGGTATAGATTTCACACCAAGGCATAACATAAAATCACAAACCAAGCTTAAATTCCATAAAACATGAGCCATATCGAATTAAACTTTTGAAGTCAGAAAGAAGAACTGAAGTTTTGGAGCGAATATTGGTCAGGATTCACACAAAGGCTGCAATAAACTCGTTTTATGGAGCTTGGGCTTCCGGAGGAGAGAAAATCTGCGATTTTAAAGCCGTGATTCTCTCCATTATTTGAAAAATCGAAGCACTTACAAAAATACTAAAGAATATCGCTGGAAAAAACAATGCTCTATTCTCCAACCTGTTCAGGAAATTGAAATGTTTGTTTTAGATTTTTCAGCCTGGAGGTACCGTAAATGGCTACGGTAATTGTATATAAAACAAGTATATGGAGTTAGAATATAAAGGTAAACAAACAGAGGAATTTTCTGCTGCGAAATGATTACAATAACTTCTAAATTTTTCAAGACGACGTCTGACGACCAGGTATTTGAAATTTTCCTTTAGAAATAGAAAGACATTGATTATTAGGAAGATGATATAACACATAAATTATAACGCTCATCTGTTAGAAATTCTGAAAAGTGAGTGCGTTAGCTTCATTTACGAATAATATTGATGCTAAAATACCAGACCTGCGGTGCATCGTTGATGGACTCAGCCAGCCCCACATTGGCCGCGAGGTTCTCCTTGTGGCTGAAAGAAGAAAAAACTCACCCTGGCAGCGAAGGATGTCTGTGGTTTCTCCATAAGGTCCCATAAGAACTTCTGGTATGGCGCACAAGCGCCGTCGCCGAAGTCCTCTTCTTCTCTTTGCTTGAGGGACTCTGCCTCCTTCCTCATCTCTTCGTGCACGTGCTCCTTTCTTTGATGGTACTTGTGCTGGCAGCATGACTCGAGGTACAGCTCATCGATACCCCAATACTCCAAGTCATCACTGAACGCCAACACACACATCTCTTCCACCAGGTGTAATTTACCAGTGCGGTAAAAATTTAAGATGGAGGAGAACGACCGAGGATGTCTGTCGAAGAAATACTCATTTTCTATGAGGGAATAATCATCACAAAGTTCCATGATGGCTTCATGCGTGTTGCATTCTCTTAGTCGGCCGAGTCTTGTGTGAGGAAGTCGCTCCAGCGTCCGCCACAGCACCTCGTGTCGGACTCCCCCGACGTTCAGCTGCACGCGTCTGTTCAGCGCCTAGGGGCGTAGGAACGTCACCATAACAACCTTCGCTTAAGTAATGGTTAGAGTCGTAACCGCTTCTGATTACTCGAATCAGACGTTGAGCCGGCTTTTACTTTTGTTTGGATAAGTGAGGCTGAACTAACTCGATCGGGTACACATTATCTTTAGTTAGGGGCGAATGGTATTCAATTGCTACTAAACATGATTAATGTGAGGCTAATTACAATCTATTTTTTCGTAAAATACTAAGCATTGCTTTAAGAGGACATCTTGTACATAAAACCTAGTCGGCACAAGATGAACTTGCCCAAATCATATCAATGAAACGAAATTATCAAACCTACATAAAAATGTGGCATGAGAAAATCGTTTCAATTCGTGTGAGTCAACTTTATGTCATGTGGCATTGTGGCAAGCTTGGGAAAGATGTTTACTAAACATGAGTGGGACAACATGATATGACACACCTGGAAGTGAATGATCTAAAAACATCAGTCTTTAAACACATTACACATTTTTCAACGCATGATCGTGAATCATGAGGGTGTAAACACATGACACACCTTTGAGCGCATGATCGTGCAACAAGAGGGTGTAAACACATGACACACTTTTGAGCGCATGATAGTGAAACATGATGGTGTAAACACATGACACACTTTTGAGCGCATGATAGTGAAACATGAGGTTGTCTAGAAGATGTAACGCACCTTTGAACGCATGATCATAAATGGCTCAGGGGGGAGGGAGACGATGGACCTGCTGTGCATCCCTGACATGGTGAACCTTCCCTCGAGGTCCTCCTCCATGTCCCCTTCCAGCCCCCGGTCAGGGAGCTCGTCCCCCCATCTCACCCCAATTGGGGGACACCCCACGTTTGGGGTGAGGTCATCCGTGGCACCGTCTCCTGTCATCCTTCCTTTTTCTTTTGCTCTGTGAACGATGCAAATGTTTCCTTATCTTCTTCTTGATGTGTCCTTCATTCTTTTCATAAACATTTCAGTCGGTTAACAGTCTCGCATTTATTTTTATTCGCTTTCTGATATCGTCTGAAACTTTGCATGTGTCTAATAAGTAAAATAAAATCAAAACTTTTAGTTGCATCTCTCATTAAGAATTTTTATGTTCTTAGCTGCAAACAGCCACAAACCTTTCACTATTCAGATATCTGAATGATTTCTAAGACAATTTCCTTTATTTTATTTTCATTCTTATTTTTGCACGTGTGAAAGCTTGCAATCACGCATCACTAAGCCATCACTTCACATGCATCACTTAACATCTCATTAAGATTCACCAACGAACAAGAGTTATTCTCTAATTCAAAATTCGTGAATTTGTCAATGATTTCGACGCGGTCGTAAGTCTAGTGATGATCTGTATTACGCGTATAACTGTTTAGCTTCACCGTATTGCGTCAATGTTTTCACGTTAAAGTCCATAAAACGAATAGTTTTATGCCGTTTCATTATGCGCGTTCGTCTCGCGAACGCGACTCTGGAAAAAATATGGCCGCTCGTCCTCTTCAAGTGGGGGTGGGTGAGGGCGACCCTTAGTCCCAAAAGTGGGACGAATCTTGACCCCAGACGTAAAACTTGGGCACCGCCGCTGCCTCTGCGGAAATAGAAGAACAGGCCAAGCTTTAGTGAGTGGCAATAGAGCTCGTCGTTACATTCTAATGAAGATACTACCTAACCTAACCTAACCTAACCTAACCTAACCTAACCTAACCTAACCTATAGCATCACAAGAGGAAGATCGTCACGAAAATATCACAAAGTTCAGTATCGCTTACTCATTTCTGCCGCAATCCCACTTACTGATTGTTGATAGAGTTTATGACCACTTACTGGGATCTGCTATTATAGCAGCACTTACTGGGCTCCGCCCCTTGTACAACCTACTGGTATATCACCAAGTCCCGCTAACTGTGTGCCGCTACAGTAAACTGTACTCTACTATTTACTGTACCAATCCGGCTCACTAGTTACAGTATCCTAAAGGTGTAGGTTGCCTGCTTATCAGGAGCTGTGTTGGGTATCAGAGCGAGGGGCCTAATGAGTAGACGGCCCTGATTACTAGGCGAGCGTCCGGCCTCATTAAGCCCTGCTGCCTTGCCGAATTAGCTACGCCTCACCTCACCCTGCCTCACCAAATCAGCTCAGCTTCACATCACCCTGCCTCACCAAATCAGCTCAGCTTCACCTCACCCTGCCTCACTAAATCAGCTCAGCCTCANTCACCAAATCTGCTCAGACTCTCATCACCCTGCCTCAACAAATCAGTTCAGCTTCACCTCACCCTGCCTCAATAAATCATCACAGCGACCAAAGCCTAAATCTACCGCATATAAGCACTCCCACTTCTTAATTTCTAGGGTTCGCTGTTTCACACACATGACTTAGGAATATTGTTCAAGCCATTATTGTCTTATTGAGACGCAGCAATGCTTCAGACAACAATTTTCGTAAAAATAAATTTGTATTAGCTACAACCTAATAGATTATAATTAGCGACACCTATAATATAAATCACTAAAGTTTGTAATATAGTAGTATGCAAATTTCCCGACACTGACTATCAGACAGCAAAGATTAAGCGCGACCAGCTTTGACGTGGTCATTAAATTTGTGCTAGCCGTCAGTTAAGCTGCTGATCCCGACTGGCGTACTGGTTCCTATCTTGTAAGATTATTGCTCCGACGCCAGGGTGAGTTATTGTGTGTGATAGTGGTGAAATTTAAATGCTTTGTGAAAAACTGTGATTTTAGTGAACATAATGATTTGTTATGCATAGGTATTTACTCTTGTTTACTGTTATAGGATCATGCGCTCTAGCTTTCTCTCCACGCATTGATTAACTTGGGACTCGTATCCGATTTGCAAATATTCGTTCAGGATATCTAATTTGTTAATTTGCTTAGTTCTAGTTTCGCATAAGTTGGTAAAGATCATTCTTTCTGCTTGTTCTGCTATAATTTTTTTCCTTTATACATTGAATTATGCTTGTCATTGGAGTTTCAATCCGTCTAGCCCAAGCCTTGCCCATTAAGCCAATAGGTGAGTGCTTTACAATTCCCAATCATCGGTGGACGTGACAAGACCATCCGAACTTTGGTGGTGACGCGACTGGTAATTGGGATATTTCCGGCTAGTTCGTCACACTGTTGACGATAATTGATATTTTTTATTAAGATGTAAGTGGGACCAAAAATTAAGTGCACAAGTGCCGAAAATTGAGTTGCTGGTAATGCATTTCCAGAGTGACGGAACTCCTCAAAGATAACGCTTGCTGAACCAAGATTAGGATGACTCCTCCTCTAGTAGCAATAGTTGAATAACACTGGTATAAATTATAATTTCATCTCATTAGTATTAACATCACTTATAATCTTCAATAATAATAGGAACGTATATTACTATACCTCTGGCTTGACAAAAATATCATGGTGCGAACATTACCTGTTCAATTTGCTTTAAATATGTGAATTTTTGATGGATTTGACGCCATACCCACCATGTTCGCGAATACCAGCAGTTTTGGATGACGTCATACTCTCCATATTTGTGTAAGCGAAACGAGTGGATGATGTCATGCCCTTTGCTCCAGTTTACAGCAATCATTGCTAGCCTTCAGGGCTTGAACCCTAACATTAACAATAAGCTCAATTTTCATTAAATGCGCGAGAGTATTTAGTCTTCAGCCCAAGAGTAATTCAGCCAGCAATTTACAATACAAATTCTGTTGCAGTGCAGCAGGAGGCACAGCAAACATACAGTGAATTAATTGCGCTCATGTCTCAGGTTCCATAAGGATGACTGTCGTTTCCGTCATTGCTTGACAAATCATGAACAATGTAGTCTCAGTGATCATATGAATTCACGTTGTTGTTACGTGTGTATAATATTACTTGCTGATATATAGCACCTAGTAGTTTATTTTACTCAAATTTCCTAGACATCTTGACATTTGGAATTTACGCTCAACTGAACGCACTTGAAACGAGGTGTTTCTATCGATAGATTGCAAAACAAAGAGAGCCATTAAAGAAATAAAAGAAGGGATATAAAAACTGCATCAGCAGCAGCTGCAGGCTTGAGTGCGGCAGCTGCATGCAGATGACACGGTTGCAGCGGTCGTAAAATTTCTACCCGACCACGTTGCCCAGCCTGCCTGCCACGTTGCCCAGCCTGCCTGCCACGTTGCCCAGCCTGCCTGCCACGTTGCCCAGCCTGCCTGCCACGTTGCCCAGCCTGCCTGCCACGTTGCCCAGCCTNTCAGATGATGTGCTCAGATGATGTGCTCAGATGATGTGCTCAGATGATGTGCTCAGATGATGTGCTCAGATGATGTGCTCAGATGATGTGCTCAGATGATGTGCTCAGATGATGTGCTCAGATGATGTGCTCAGATGATGTGCTCAGATGATGTGCTCAGATGACGTGCTCAGATGATGTGATCAGATGACGTGCTCAGATGATGTGATCAGATGATGTGCTCGGATGATGTGCTCAGATGACGCTATCACTGCATGGATGTGCTCAGATGATGTGCTCAGATGTTTAGCGAAACTAATGCATTAAAAAATTTATTTAAAGTTGAATCACTGATGAAATGAGCACAATAAATCAATTATTTAAAAACCAAATTGTACTGAAGAGCGAGTTGCATATTAATGAGATTTGCATATTAATGTGAGCTACAGTTCGATAACGCAATATATAATCGAATAAAATAAGCAAACCACTTTTGTGGTTTGCTTATTCCTTAAGCAATATTAAGCTAGCAATATTCGTTATAACTTTTGTCCATTCATAACAATTTAAAAATATTAGCGGATGGCTGCGTATTTCCGTCCGAAGCAACAACTGGCACGTCGGGTTTTCTCATGCCAACCCTACCCATGCCAACCCTACCCATGCCAACCCTACCCATGCCAACCCTACCCATATGTCAACCCTACCCATGTAAACCCTTCACCAGCATCACGAGTTGCAAACATTTTCTAGACTATCATCGGACGAATGCATCTACTGGCAGCTCACCGGTAACGCTAGAAACATTTACAGACCATCGACAAACTCCAAAAGTCATCTACGCCAATATTATATGTCAAATAAGTGACATTAGTTCGTCTACTGGAACAGCTCGATAAGGCTATGTATTTTTGATATCTGAAGCTGACTATACTGCGCATGAAATTTATTTAAGCCTATGGCACTTCCATGAAAAGTTTAATGTTCGCCGTATTGATATACCATTTATTGAGCTAGACTCGCTTCACTGTTAACAATGCGAGAGAATACAGTCGACTTGAGCAAAAAGTTCACCTTTATCTAGCGCGTATCGATCATTTCTATCGATGTCACACCCTACCCGCTCAACTTCCATTCAGCTGCTGGAAGCTCCGTGTGCCTCCTAACTCCTTACAGATCGTAAACAAACGCCTTTGGCTTTAGGTATCTCGGATAATTTTCTGAATGTTATGTCTGATGCAAAGACACAGAATCAGTAGAGAAACTAATACCGTACATTCATTCCCATCCGTTGAATCGTCATGGTCAAGTCATCGCTGGATCGCTAGATCTCCCATAAGGAACCCAAGACCTTTGAGTTCGTTATAACAATCGTCAGAACAGAGATTAAGGAATGTCACTACAGGAAGTTTGTAGCGATATCGTATCTGGGCGTGACTGGCAAGCACCAGCGTGTAGTGACAGCCGCTCGATACTGCAGTGTGTATGACCAATGTAAGCAGTGTATGAGCACAGTAATATCAGTGTATCTGCAGTGTATCAGCAGGGTATCAGGAGAGTATTAACAGTATAATAGCAGAGCTAAATCTGTGGGGCAGCGCTATATTAAATGCTTTGACAGTGTATCAGGAAGGCATGAGCAGTGAGCATTAGAGTATCAGGAAGGCACAAGCAGTGAGCAGCAGAGTATCAGGAAGGCACGAGCAGTGAGCAGCAGAGTATCAGGAAGGCATGAGCAGTGAGCATTAGAGTATCAGGAAGGCACAAGCAGTGAGCAGCAGAGTATCAGGACTGTCTCTTATACACATCTAGATGTGTATAAGAGACAGCCTGCCNACAACCTCAGTCAGGTGTAGAGTAGCTAGCTACACGAGGGCTCTTTATTCCTGGTAACAACCTCAGTCAGGTGTAGAGTAGCTAGCTACACGAGGGCTCTTTATTCCTGGTAACAACCTCAGTCAGGTGTAGAGTAGCTAGCTACACGAGGGCTCTTTATTCCTGGTAACAACCTCAGTCAGGTGTAGAGTAGCTAGCTACACGAGGGCTCTTTATTCCTGGTAACAACCTCAGTCAGGTGTAGAGTAGCTAGCTACACGAGGGCTCTTTATTCCTGGTAACAACCTCAGTCAGGTGTAGAGTAGCTAGCTACACGAGGGCTCTTTATTCCTGGTAACAACCTCAGTCAGGTGTAGAGTAGCTAGCTACACGAGGGCTCTTTATTACTGGTAACAACCTCAGTCAGGTGTAGAGTAGCTAGCTACACGAAGGCGTAACGTACGTATAGGTGAGGGTGGAGGGACCGGTGCATACCTCATCCCACGACATCCGGTCACTGGCTCATGCCTAACCCTACTTCCGATTATAATATGTCAAGAGACGTGATCTAAGTTGGACAGTTATCTCCGCCAGGAGATTTATGATACGAAGTTACTGTTAAAAATGACAAATTTAGAAACGATCGTAGTTGGTTGAACCTGTTGCAACATTTAATATGCTTTATAACTTAATATATTGTAACCGGTTCAGAGCAACCACAATGTTTCCGTAATCACAAGCTGGCAAGTGAACGTAAGTGATCCGGTGATCGTAAGTTGCCCTGTGATCGTAAGTTGCTCCGTGATCGTAAGTTGCTCCATGATCGTAAGTTGCTCCATGATCGTAAGCTGCTCCATGATCGTAAGCTGCTCCATGATCGTAAGTTGCTCCATGATCGTAAGTTGCTCCAAGCTCCAGCCAAGGCAGAGCGCAGGCTGTGCTCGATCGCATCGACCACTGAGCGCTGGTCGATGTCCCCAGCCCTCGGCGCTGTACAAAGCCACGAGCCTTCAATTATTTGCACGCGATTGACGGAGTAATGTTTTCTGTCGAATGTTTTGTAGACCCTACAGCATGTAGACCCTCTGCAGCATGTAGGCCCTCTACAGCATGTAGACCCTCTGCAGCATGTAGACCCTCTGCAGCATGTAGACCTTCCACAGCATGTAGACCCTCTACAGCACGTAGACCCTCTACAGCACGTAGACCCTCTACAGCATGTAGACCCTCTACAGCATGTAGACCCTCTACAGCACGTAGACCCTCTACTGCATGTAGACCCTCTACAGCATGTAGACCCTCTACAGCACGTAGACCCTCTACAGCATGTAGACCTTCTACAGCACGTAGACCCTCTACAGCATGTAGACCCTCTACAGCATGTAGACCCTCTACAGCATGTAGACCTTCTACAGCATGTAGACCCTCTACAGCATGTAGACCCTCTACAGCATGTAGACCCTCTGCAGCATGTAGACCCTCTACAGCATGTAGACCCTCTGCAGCATGTAGAACCTCTACAGCATGTAGACCATCATACAGTTCCTATGGTATGTGGGGGTTAGGTTCGATTCAGCGCTACATATCAGGTACGAAGCTGCTGCGATCTGGCTAGAAAGTTGTGGTTTAGTTTTATGTATAAATCAGAACGCTTCTAGGCCGGCGACATGTGCTGTGGTGACTTAAGTGGCATGATGTTAGACCTTCTATAGCGTGTTGAGCGTCAATATCGTAGATATTTTATTGAATGCTGTGTGCCACTGTGTTATTGAAAATAATTTTAATGTTTCTATGTAACTTTCAATTTTTGAAACCCAGTCTAATCTATGATTCAATATTTTATGACTCGCGGTTCACTTCGATCGGGCTTTAATGGAACAAATTAAAACAGTGTAATTGATGTGATGGAATTTTAATACTATCAGTCAAGACCAAGTCCAACTTATTTTTTGATCCACCATAAAACAACCGACAACGCCAAAACGATTCTAAGACTAAGAACAAGCTTTCACCCATTAAGCCCCGTTCACATACCGCTGACCCAAATATGGTCGCATCCGCAGCTTAACATGGTCTCAAAGTAGAGAAGAATTCCATCAAAAATGCAAAGTTTAACTAAAAAATCTTATCACAAGTTCAGTGTTATTGTCGCACGTGCATTAAAATGCTGCTTCAGTCGAATCAGAACTCCGTGCTGACCACAGTGGGGCGGTGGATCAAAACTCCACCATGAGCTGGCGGTGCGAAACTTGCTCTGTAAAGATAGCAAGTAAAGTCGTGTTTGTAAACGTCGTTTGTTCCTATGAACTCATGCCAGGAGTTCGCGCCTTGTGTAGCCTTAAAACTAAATAAGTTATGGGTATTGTGATGCAGTGCCTGGTCGCGTGTCGATTACATTTCTTTGGTGAAGTTTAAATATGGACTACACTTGTTAATGATGAAATTATTAATTTATAACGACATTATTACTCGTTACTTCATCGAAGTTATTAATTGATAATTATGCAAAATTTGTACATCAGAAAAACTCATTTGTTAAACTTTTATTGACTTCAATATTATTGCAAAATTTCCGTACAACCCAATTTCAGTTCACCCTTCAATAGAAGTCACAATAAATGATGAAATAATTGTAATATTCCATTTATAAATATTGATCATAGACTTCACTGAAATAATCGAAATGATATTCATACAGTTAATTCCTTGTTCGTATATTATAGTTCATGTTTGTTGTCATGATGGTTCCCATGTAATTGGATGATTAACGCCATGTGCAGCCATGTTGTCGGCAGCAAACAAAAAAAAATATAACTCAATACTCACTGCAGTGAGTGACAGAGAGCGCATTTTCTCATCGACGAAAACGTGAATTCACGGAAGGACAGACAGACGGACATGGCGATCACAATAGTGCAATATTTCCATAAATGAGAAAATGCGCTAACAACTTCATGACTGCAGTTGAAATTCAACCGTCTGTGATCGTAGGTTCTGTAGCGGACACAAGTATGAACGAAGCGTCGGGAACGTGCAGGCGTTGCTGAAAATTCCCAGCGTTTGATGGTGAGGTGGTCGACGGAATGCATGGGACTGTGATGCCGACAGTATTTACGATTTTGGGAAAACTTAACGTTTCCCAGATGTTTTTATTTCTTTAAATCGCATGAGGATTAATTATTTATTATTATTTCTTAAAATTGCATGAGAATTATATGGTTTTAGCGCTGCCCTTTTTTCCTCATTTATTTTAAGACTTCAGCGTTAACCTTGAACCACATGTGCTTAAAGGTCTGGTGCGATCGTAAGTGGCAGGCTGGTCTTTATACCGCATCTAAAATTAATCCTATTGCTCCCCACGCTTTTAATGCACTATTCGATCTCATCCATCAATTTCAGACGGTATGCACTGAGCTAAGATCATCGTAAGAATTATTATCGCTCTGCCACCTCGTCTCAGACTTGTTCACACTTGTGACGCGGTATTTTTGGGCGTCCATATCGCCGGACAAGCAGTTGCCGGCCGTCGCAGGGCAGCGAGCGCTAGCTCCGAATTGCCGTACATTTTGGCGCGTATTTTCCGCTCAATTTTAAATCATAACGCAAAGCAAAGTAGTAACGTATTACATGCCTTCTGGAGCCCGATGCATTGTGAGAGAGCGTGACCGGACCAGAAAGAGAGAAAAGAGCTTACATGATATGAAACGAACGTTGCAATAAGATAAAGAGAACCTGTTTCGATAACGTACCTTTAAATCTTATAACACTCTAGACCTTCTCTCTACCATGAAGACCCTAACGCATGGTAGACCTTCTCTTTGCGCGGCCACTGTCATCACTCTTTGTCTACACCACACCACACTGAGTTGTAACCATTGGCACAAATCAGATCAGCTTTCTCGCGCACCTCGCCATTTCTAGAGCCATGTAAATATATTGAGGCGATGCATGCGTGTATATACGTTCGGGCCTTGGCAAGGTGAGAGCTGCGCGACCTCACTTCACGGAGTGCCAGTGCCAACTGAGGCATGGCTTCACCTGCACCAAACAAGCGGCAATTATCTGACCCCGGGTCATGTGGACCAGACCGTGACACGGTGCAGTGTCCGGGCCTGATGCCGGCGTTACCGTGACACGGTACAGTGTCCGGGCCTGATGCGTGCGTTACCGTGACACGGTGCAGTGTCCGGAGCTGCAGCAGCGGTACATACACTCGCAGCTGCAGCTGCACATACACTCGCAGCCGCAGCAGCTGCTCGAGCGCAGCTGCGGTCGTGACAGCTGCGGAAGCGCTTGACAATTTACAGCTAATTTAACGGTCACTTTAACGGCCTCCGAGAAATATGACCAGAGAACATCGTTTATAGTTGTTCTAGGCCGTATCCCGGCTCATGCCTAGGTGCTAGTCATACTATAGCTTGACGTTCCCAAAATTTCTTGTAATTTTCCATATAAGTAAAAGAGAATTTTCTCGCACCAATTGTTCATGTCGCGCCTACATTAATGTTGAAAAAACAATCCGTCCGTGTTTCCGACAATCCGTCTCAAACACTTGGATCATTACAGGTCAGGGTTCGAAGTTTGCGAGATGGTAGCGTCTTCCAAAATTTCAAAAGTTTTAAATCGATACTAAGTGTTTAAACAGTCGTAAGTACTTGAACGATCGTAAGTTCTGAGAAGATTGTAAATTTGGTGATGATCGGAAGTTCTCATATGATCAATAGTTCTAAAATGACGTTATAATACAAATCTCCCGACAACACAGATGTATATTAATTTTAAGTAATTAATTGAAAATGATTAATAAATTTAATTTAATAATTTACGCTGTCACCGAGCCGGCCAGTAATTAATTACTTCTGCCGCCTAAGAGCCACTAATTTGAATATGCTAATTTAATTGGTGCCTGAAGTTAATTGGTCCAGTGACCTCTCAAAACTAATGAATGGCAACCGTTTTTTTGGAGGCCCCTTCGTGTTGACTCAAATTTGTGACGTAATATTGGCGCAGAATTACGTCAACCCATCGTGTAGATTTTATCTTTGCCGTCAGCTCGCTGAAGGATTGGCTGCCACGACATTTATATTGATTGATAACGGGTTGACTGTGAAGAAGATGCCATGCACAGACCGTTTATAACACCTGAACTCACCAATGATTATTCAATTCTAGTCTTCATCTTCTTGCTCTCAATTTCATTCTTCTCTCCGTTGGTGCCACGAAATTTATTTACTAGGATGACGCCTCCATAAAATCCCTCGTAAATGAAGTAACCGCCTCAAAATAGACAAACCTTGTGAATCAGCATTTGTTGCAAAATAAAAATTTTTATCTGCAATTTCAAATAGTTTTGGCTTCGATCATTCTTTAGATTGTTAAGCGGTATAATATTTAGGCTCGCCTAAATGATGTACTAAAAATTTATTAATCATCGCCCGTACCGATGAAAATCCAACTTTAAAACCTAGAAGAGCTGTTTCGAATTTTATCTTTATGTCCGCTATACGTTACAGAAAGCAGCGTTGATTTTTCTGCAGAGATGACCGCGTTGATGGTATTTTTCATATATATTTATTTGAGGAGGCATAGGTGAGCGAAAGCTATATGGCATACACCAGTAAAAATTACAGCCTTATTGACTTCGACCGACTGCTGTCCAGTCATCGGCCATTCAATTGAATTTCCGTTGTTTATTACAAATGCAAAGACCGCCGTGTAAGATGGCAGCTTACGATGGTAGATGCGAGCGGGCAAATGTCAACCCAAGTAGACAAGCTACTATTTAGCCACCAAACCTCAGGTCCCATCAGTCTTCGGACGTTGAAATAATTTTGATTAGACGCTTTCTCAATAAGATTAGCCAGTCTCAACGTTATCAACTCTAAATTGAAAATTTTTTTTACGAAATAACTCATATTCAACATTATTTCAACTTCACATTACTAGAGGGTCTGGGCTTCAGGGCTTCATGAAACTAACTATTAAAGGGAAATCCCCTGGCCCATGTCGTCTTGCTACATTTAACATCATTTTTGCTACAGCTGCCGTTAAACAGTCCGCGTTCATGGAGCGCATAAAGTAGAAGCTAACGATTCTCGTCTTCTTGGCTCATTTGATGCGTGAAGTTACCGTAGACTTGGCCAATGGAAAACTTCGCGATGGAGAGACAAATGGTCCTCAGGATTTTATGCCTGGAATGGCTGGCTTGCCAAACTCGAATCTTCTTCCAAACTTTGGCCCTCAATTCAGAGGCCTGAAAACTATGATAAACTTAGGATCATGACAAACTTTAATGATTTAGCTCATTGTATCTTAAGACTCCATTACTAAGTAGTAGTAAAATAGACGAGAAATTTAAGCTTTTTTCAAAATTATCAGAACAATTTAAATAGACCACTGTACGTCAATATTTTAACCAATGGCAGTACATATGTACAATTTTTAAATATTGTTTTTACACGGTTGCTTAATGACCAGAGAATTCATTCATTTAAATTTTCAGGGTCGAACAATATTCTTCAGAAGACGTTAGTTGATCAAAATGCAGGTTTTATGAACTAATTTTAATTTATTAACGCCTTTTCGAATGTGACAACATTCATGTTCAAGTTACAGTATAGAAAGCATTTAATACAGAAATTTTGGTGAAAATAAGCACATGATGCACGTAAATATGACACAATACTAAAAATTGGAACCGTGAAAATAACTCCTAAACAATCTCAAAGTTCAGAATATCCGGTGGTTTTAAGATTGATAGCTAGAATCCAATCCGTAGAGATGAGGGCTCAGTTATCGTCGGTCGGATGATGTCGGCCACTGCAAGATGACGATGCTTGTGGGTTTCTGAAGCACAGTGCAAGTGACAGTCTAGTTGAGTTTGACGTTGTCGATGGTGTCACTGAACCTGTTGAATTCATCGCGGATATTGAGATGAAGTTACTCGCTTGTGATGCTTTGAGGCCTGGACTGGTTGCGAGCTTGTCTCAGGTGGCAGGATAAACGGCTGCTCAATGTCGTAGTAATTACTCAAATTACTCCATTGTAGTTCAAATTATGAAGAATTCTACGTCCTTCTTCCACTAAAATTTCGGTATTCAATACTTCCTATAACTTGAAAATGAAAGTTGTCACATTCAAAACTTCATTAACAAATTAAAATTACTTCCTTGAACCTGCATTTTGATCAACCATCGTCATCTGCAGAATATTATTCGATCCTGATAATTTAAATCACTGAAGAAATCTCTGGTCATTAAGCACCCGTGCTTAAGCAAGCTAATTCTGCCATCTTATACTAATTTCTTAAATCTGCATTACATTGCGGTCAGTTAAATAACTATTGATACCGTACCTTCATGTGCTTGCAGCTTGTGAATATCATGCGCAGGATATATACGAAATTGAAAGCATTCTTCACAAATATCCTCAAATGCCACGAAGAAACATAAGATCGCAACCTATCAAGGTATTTGGAATCTAGGCATTAACGTGCTGCAAATGTTTCAATTTTGTAAAATGATAAAGAAAATACATAAATCATTGCAAACTGTATTACGTTAGAATGTGTTTTTTATGTGTGTGTGAATGTGTGTATGTCCTGCAATGACGATCAAAAAGCAGAACTCGACCCTGGACTACATAACCTTAAGTGCACCATGCTTATCTTGTAAAGCATCATGAGTGTTTTTTTAAGAGAAAATGAAGCTAAAATTGCAGCAATTCTAATGATGAATTTCATAATACAAAAGAATAAATTCAATCAGTCATGAATTTTAGCTTCTACTATGATTTTCATTTACGTCAAAAGTTAATTTATTTCAAAATGAATAATGATATATTAAAATATTGTAAAAAATGTTAGCGAGCCGTATCATTAGCGTATCATTCAGTGAAGAAAACTTTTAGTGATTGAGGTTTCATCAAATTAAAGAATAAATTCGGAAACTCTGAGGCGAATATTATAGTGTTATTTCTATGCTGAATTATAACATCAATGTTGTGTGAATGGTATACAGTGTAACTGTACAGAACCCAGGAGACTTCATCATCATGCTACACGATTCCCTCCATACCACAAAGTAACCGAATGCTCTCACCGTAAAATTTTCATTAGAGTATAGCACAGCATTAAATAAGAAATTATCTGTACCTTTTGGCTACAAGGCCTCATGACTTATTCGATATTCGTACATAATATATTGCGGAGAATAGATATTCCAGTGCATATATCAGTGTCACATTTTCAGACTGGGTGTTATTATTCCAAAATAAATGTGATATGTATTTCCAACCTTTAGCGACTAATTATATATTTACTGATATTTTCAGTAAAAAACATGAAGACATGATTTATGTTAGAATTCTTCGTGTAATAATATACTCAAGTCGTTGTGTGTCATTCAAGGTTTGAATGCCCTTGAGCCATTAATTGAGACTCTTTGAGACTTTATAATTAAAGTGCTCTCAATTTATAAGCTTTAGTTTGCTTTTGTTTCTTTATTCATATGTACCTATCATCCTTTCTCTATAAAAGCTTGTACCGGCGGTGATCTATAACTTGCAGTTTACTCTAGTCGGAGTAGAGTAAACATTTTTAAACCGTGCTTAGTGCTTCAGTATTTCAATGTAGGTATCGATTTCTTAAGAGGTTTCTTCTCATTTATGCAACATTAATGATCAATAGAATCTACGTGTTTTCAATACCAATTCGTTTCCTACAATATTTTCAACCATGTAGAAAGTTAGATAGGGAAGTTGCCTTAGGCCGTTGCCCCAGCGACCACTAGATCTTCGATCTTGAAGTCGCTTTTCTATTCGAAAATTTAACCTACACTCTGTAGTGTTCAAAGAAATTACTCTGACGAACGTTGGAAACTTTTTACAAGGCCTTGCCAAGTCACTTATACATTCTAGCCCTTTATTTTGTCCAGTGTATTCATAACAGTGTCAATTTTAGAGCTGGGAGCAAAGTTGCGTGTTTTCGTTTGAGTGTCGGTGGTGTTTGTGGCGATGCAGTGAACACGACAGGAAGGGTTACACTCCGTGTCACGCCAGGCATCAATTATTCAGGTCGGTATTGACGAACTCACTTGTGCTGCTGGAACTTCCGTGCCCTCTAAGTGGGTCTGTCGTGCTGCTGTTCACTTCGTTCAGGGTGGGGCCGTTGATGGGGTTTTGGAATAGGTATGTGCTGGTCCATCATCAACCAGTTTGCCACCCCACCCATTTAAATCAAGTTGTATAACTGGTTTCAAATGAAGTTGATGCCAACAACGACGCCTCTGTAATCGTTGATGAAGGGATTAATGGTGTGGTTATTGTTGATGTCATTGATTGCTATCAGGAATGGCCGGGCTCCATCGAGCGAGGCAAGAATATTCAGTGAACTTCATTATTGAGGATCATAATTTTTTTCTAAGCAAGAGAAAGAAAATTTACAGTACAAAAAGCAAGTGGGGTCTTGCCCAGAATCATTAAATTAGAATAAATATACGGTCTAACCTAATTGTGTCTATTACCAACAAAATGCAAACATCTGTGGTGTTCAAAACTGGGCTTTGGTTCAAGACTCTCAAGATAGCTTTAGAAATGAAAAAAAAAACAGTCGGTACACGTGTTATCGTGAGAAGGTCAGGAAGGTCAGTCAAGGTTCTAACCGATTAATCTCACTGGATATTGAGGACACTTTGAATAGAGCACTAAAGGCAGTACGGTGCTGCTTCCGGGAGGCTTTGTTATCTTGCTGCAACATTCGGCAACTATGGTTTTGGTTTACTTCTTGTGGTTTTGCTGCCACTCACATGCCTGCCTTACTGCCGCAGCGATCATTATCATAGAACTGGTTGCTGTGGTTTTTGCTGTTCAATGGTCTTACATGATGTCACAGCAAAGAATAACAATAATAAATTTGACACAAGTTTTGTTAACTTGAATCCCTGACTTGACTGCGCTGGAACCTTTGATGGTGATGGGCGTTTTTGTTTATATCGATTTACTGTCAATGCAATCTGATGTCGATGCTGTTGAATCATTTTTAATTGCTGTTGATACATCCCTGGTGATAGTTTACATGATCACGTTAGTGTGGTTGTGGCTATAGTGTGGCTGAGGTCATCACCAGGGAGGTGATTTTGTTTGGCTCCACCAACCTCACCGCATCAATCTCGACGGCTTACAGGACCAAGGAGAGGAAACAACAACATCCGCGTTAGAGAAAAAAAAACATTGTGAGTCGGTCAGTGTTTGATGGTCGGCCTGCCAATGAACGACAACTCATTATGCGATAAAAGGCAGATTTCATACCAATTCACTGCCCCTGGCATGTTGAATGATGATTTCACATGAAATAATGAACTTCCAATTCGACATTTTAACATTCGGCATCTAATAACTACTTGTATCTAGTAAATTTATATCTAATAGCCTCGTGTGCTGGTGTGCGTTGTGAGAATTGCACGTAATGAAGAAGAGAGCGTTTTTCCCACCCGAGGTCATTAGGGTTAAAAAGCCCGCCCCCTTTTTTTGCTCCGTCCGCTATCCGTATTCGTCATCCTGGCATCCTATTTTTAATGCTACCTTATTATTAATTTATTTTATTATTAAAATAATAAGTTAATCTATTAATTGTTAATTTAGTAACACATCCGATGAATTTAAAAGATTGACTGTAATTTCCACTTGGTTCGGTGGCTGATCGCTGGCCAGCGATGGGGCGGCTATAATTAATAGTTAAAGTTGCTCTCTAGCTCGCCTCGACTTGACCTTTGGTGCCGGCATGTCACCCGCCTCGCTCTCTTAGCTGCGCGTGCTTGCATCCACCGTCCCACATACGATACGTATATGCCTTATATCCTCTTGGATTTTTTGGAAAAACTAGGAGGTATGTATGTTTCTTTTTTAACGGCATTTAATAGAACTTGTTTGGGGGAACATTTTTGATAACAAAAAGTTTCCAGATAAGTGCCTGGAAGATGTATTTTTTCTCGTGTTGCAGTAGTTTGATGTAACGCTATGACATTTGTACGTGCGCTATTAAGAACATAACTTGGCGTTACGATTCCAAAATTGTTAGTTTAAATTCAAATCTGCCGATTTATTTCGATGACAAAACTAACGTAATTGTAAAGCCGATGAAAATCACATTCCTTACTGAAATGAAAGCAATTTCTGGTAGGGGTGAAGATGGAACATAAGATTGTCACAGAAATGCCGAGCATCGTGTTCGCTCGCGGGATAATCTCTCATTGCACCGGAATCATTCAGAGAATAAGTGTTGGTTACTCATATTTTTACTTTAGTGATTATTAGGTTAGAATGTTGGTTATTAAGTCGGTATAAGTTATTTATCAATTTTTTTCACGCGTTGATTTTTAGATTTGTGGGTGTATTATTCTGTTAATGTGAATATTTCATCCGACAAACCAATATAAAAATATATCAATGAAGATTTTATTCGTCTCGATCTTATAAACATTTATTTTATTAGATTCTATTCGTGGAGTTTTTAGGTTCAGTTGGAATTACATGAAATGAAATATTGATAATATGTCAATTTTAGTCCAATATGAAATGGAGGACCAAAGACTAAATTAGACGACCTAAAAAAAGTAAGCCAAGCATTAAGTAAGCCATTAGTATGTCGCCGCAACTAAGCCCCGAATATGAAGCTCTTCAGAAGATGTGTGCAATGTATTCCTTATGTCGATGTATTCATAGTTACAGCCGACACTATGACGTCCTTATTAAGGTGCCCCTTACGTAACAGTCCTTATGTTACGCAGTTAACATCGTAATCAATCTAATATAAAGCGTATATTTTTTTATTCAAATACTGTGAGTAGGATTCCGAAGTGTCAAGTCCTACAAAGATTGTAATGTAGGATGTATTGTTTGTGATGAGCAGGTAGGATGACGAGCGTGACGGGCTGATGGATTCGTCGTCGCTGCTCCGAGGATCCGCCGGTGAGGAAAATTCGGAAGTAGCGGAACCGGCAGCAAGCAACAGTGTGCTCAGTGGCGGGCCTGTATTGATCCACCTCCTCCTCCACCTCCATCTCCTCCACCTCCTCCACCTCCTCCACCTCCACCTCCACCTCCTCATCCTCCACCTCCACCGTCTCCACATCCTCCTCCACCTCCTCCACCACCTCCTCATCTACCTCCACCTCCTCCACCTCCTCCACATCCTCCTCCACCTCCTCGTCCTCCTCCACCTCCTCCACCTCCTCCACCTCCTCGTCCTCCTCACGCTCCAACTCCAATTACCTCCACCTCCTCCACCTCCTCCACCTCCACCTCCTCCACATCCTCCTCCGCATCCTCCTCCACCTCTACCTCCTCCATCTCTACCTCCTCCACCTCTACCTCCTCCACCTCTACCTCCTCCACCTCTACCTCCTTCACCTCTACCTCCTCCACCTCTAACCACCACAAGCACCACCGCCACAAACACCTCTATCACCCTGTATTCAGTGCCAATGATGTTATTGATGCCACTCCAGTAAGGACGCGTTGCTTTACATGTACCACCGAAAATGTCGAGATCCTCTTTCATGCACTGCCCTTTTCGCGTAATGCTTTCATAACGTAATGCCTTTTAGGGTACTGCTTTTTCACGTATTGCCTTTTTCAATGCGCAGCGTTTTTGTGTACTGCATTTTCAATGCACTGCCTTTTACGCGTACGGCCTTTTCAATGCACTGCCTTTTACGCGTATTGCCTTTTCAATGCACCGCCTTTTTTTACTGCATTTTCAATGCACGGCCTTTTGCGCGTTCTGCCTTTTCAATGCACTTACTTTTTGGCGTACTGCCTTCTTACTGCACTGCCTTTTTTGCGTACTGATTTCTTAATGCCCTGGCTTTTTCACGCAGCACCTTCACTATAACACTATACGTGATGTCTCATGTCACCCTTGCTGCTGCTGATTATAACCTGACACCGAGTGACGCTGGGCTACTAAGGATTACCTTTCATTATTGCCTTTCAGCAGAATTGATTCATATCCTTTACCGGCCTATTGAGCCTATTATTATCCGCTTCCTATGTATGAAGATTTCAATCTCTGTCTTTGATGTGCTGGATATAAGTATTTTTCCTGACACTAGGATTTACGATGAGCATTTTATCAAGATTGCTGTTGAGTTATGTTCAAAACTTACAATTCTCCTTTCATTGGAAGCTTTAATTCATCGGGATGATGCTTTAATAATAATATAAGATTTAATTCATCGTGATGTATAGAGTAAAATGTTTAGAAAGATGCAATGGAGAAAAGATTCCTGCGAAATGCCTGGAGGGAAATGTTTGCTGTGAAATTCTTAAAAGGAAATGTTTGTTGTGAAATGCTTGAAGGAAAATATTTGTCGCAAAATGCTTAAGGGGAATCGTTCGCTGAAAATTCTTAAAGGAAAATGTATGCATTGACTAATTGAAGGGATGGGTTTGCTGTGATAAGTTTGAAGAGAAGTGTGTGCAATGAGTAATTACAGAGATATATGTAGATGCTGCGAAATTTTTGTAAATAATAGTTTACAGAAAAGTGCTTGAATAATGGGTTCGAAGGGGAGTATTTGAATAAAAGTGTTTGTTAAAGGGATGTCTGCGTACTGAAATGCTTGATGGGAAATACCTGCTAAGAAGTTTTATTTAAAGAGGAATATTTGCAGAAAAATATTGTTTGAGAAGGATTTACAGTAAATTGTAATGAAAAAATTATTTAAATTGAATTAAAATGAAGTGTTAGGAGGGAAGTATTTGGATTAAAGTTCCATGTGTGATGTATAAAGTAGCAATACAAATGCACCCGCGGTCATCACTCTGATGAGTCATGGCGTGAGTCACTCTAATGAAGGACCAGTCGCCCCAGAGCTTCCAGCACTCACTCGGCTGCGTGAGAGCTAAGCCTTACATTTCATGAATTGTAAAAAAAATCCCGTAATTTAATTCATTCTTAAAATTCTTTTTCATGTATAAAAACATCGAGAAATTATCTAACTACCTTGCAAGAGTGATTTGGAAATATTACGTAACCTGAGAGGACCGGTTACTTGTAGCAGTAATGCATGTATGATACGATGACTTACAAATACGAAATATTCAACATAACACCGACTAGCACCGGCGTGATGATGAGAATCTCGTAAAGAATAATTGGCAGACGAGAATGAAAAGAGAATTTGCGACTCTGGTGTCATCCGATTTCTGCGAATTAACGAGCAATAATGAGACAAACACCACTTTTTTAGCGAGCAAGTAGACGGCAACAGCACGATAGAAGTTATCGGTGGCGCGCTCGGGATCAAAATTTTACGTATTGCCTTCTTGTGACAGTTACGAGAAAAATTCATGTCCAGGAACACTCAACCTTTGTGGCACCGACTTACCGGTAGGATTTTTGATGGAGAGTTTATTGGATCTGATTACTGCAAATCTACCGCGGCATAGACAGCAGACAGCAACACTATCATGACAGGTTTACAGACCAAGCCTGCTTTCCTGCAGGAGCGTCAACCAATGCAGCTATGGGACCAGTTTTCATTATGATTCACATGAAATTATATTCAACTGTCCGGGTAACACGTTATAGTTCTTTAACCAAGACATTTTCTAACATTCAACTCAGGCATCGTGGCGAGTGAACTTATCAACAATAGTCTCTGTGTTTACAAATCGCGGTAGTGAACCTATCATTTCGTGTAAATCCGTAAATAATCCCTTTTCATTCTCTTAATCGGTGCAAGCTCAGTCCAACTTTTTTATAAACATTGAGCATTGAATTCTGCAGATTTTGTTACTAGTTAAACATGAATAGGATTTTTATAGAACTACATTGTAGTCTCAGGATAAGGTCTCTGATTTACTCGGTTAAAAATCTCAATCTTTTGAAATTCTAACACATAAAACGACTTATTTTGGTTGAATAATAACATGGGACTCTCTTAAATAGCAGGGAAATCAAGATCTTTTATCATGCGAGTGAGAGATCTTAGTACGACTTTGGGAAAAATATTCTGGTAAAATTTAGCTTCACGAGTTGCGTTGCTCCGTTTAAAAACGATGACTGTCTAATTGTCTCAGCTTGTGCCACCAGTGCGGTATGATACTTGCATTACAGTATTTTTTCTGGTTTTCGTTTTGAACATTATTAGTATATTTACAGATATAAATTTCTTTGAGAATTTTTGCTGCTGCACAAGTTCCTGTGGTGCATTTAGTTATAACATTTGAGTTGCTCATTAACATGTCTGAATGAATGGGTTTTACGTTCTGTGTGCAAATTTTCTGTCAGCACCAACACACATTATATTTTAGATGACAAGATTTTTTGTTAGCTTGCTTGGAGCCTCCGTTGGTAAGAGAAGGCAAATGTAGCGAATGAGCTAATGAAGTTGTCACTATTTTATTTTTTTTTTTTGTGGTCTTGCGTCGGATTGTCATATATGCTTCCAGGAGACATTGCAAGTCTGAATAACGGCTAGTACATCACCACTAATATTACGAAATTTATGTTAAAATAACTCGAGCATATTTAAGAACTAACATGCGATCTATTCAATAATGCATGTCAATTCAGACTCCCGGACCGACAGTTTGATTGATGCCATAGAAACCTATGCTGGACTGACGCTAGATCAGCTCAGGCAGGAAATATATCAGCCAGAACAGCAGCTAAATAGGCTGAGACAGCAGCTAGATCAACCGACCCTGCAGCTAGATCAGCCGACAATGCAGCTAGATAAGCCGATACTGCAGCTAGATAAGCCTATACTGCAGCTAGATAAGCCGATACTGCAGCTAGTCTAGCTAGATAAGCCGATACTGCAGCTAGATAAGCCGATACTGCAGCTAGATAAGGCGATACTGCAGCTAGATAAGCCGATACTGCAGCTAGATAAGCCGATACTGCAGCTAGATCAGCCGACACAGCAGCTAGATCAGCCGATACTGCAGCTAGATAAGCCGATACTGCAGCTAGATAAGCCGACACAGCAGCTAGATCAGCCGACACAGCAGCTAGATCAGCCGACACAGCAGCTAGATCAGCCGACACAGCAGCTAGATCAGCCGATACTGCAGCTAGATCACCCTAGATATCATGAAGATTGGACAGTGGGGAAGGCGATAGGCATAGAATTGCCCAAAGTTGGATGAGAACTAATCAGTTATTCAAGTATTTGTCATGAGCATATATTAGAAGTGAATAAAAATGACCTAATATATATATTCAATAAATTTTTTGTCACCTGCATTGGAATGTGTGTATAAATTTGGATGCCACAGAGAAGTTTCTGCTAAATCACTGCATCAGTTAGCTTTTCTGGAATTACTAGCGCAAAAAAATAATAGTTGTTTTCACGAATAGTAGAATAGTGGTTGATGTCATGAATAACAGAATAATAGTTTATATCATGAATATTAAGATAATTGTTGATATCACGAATATTATGATAATGGTTGATATCATGAATATTAATATAATAGTTGATATCATATATATTAGGATAATAGATGATATCATAAATATTAATCATGAATATTAGAATAAAACTTTGTCATGAATATTACAACAATAGACGTTATGAATATTATAATAATAAACGCCATGAATATTATAAAGCCCACATGAGGGCGACGCAGTGCGGTTGCTACGGCGGTGGTGACGCACGAGGCGCGTCGTGAGGCGGCGTCTTGCGTTGCCATGGCGCCGAGCCTGCGAGAGGATCAATTCCAGCCCGTACTGTACCTGCAGATACTGTACCTGCAGATACTGTATCTGCAGATACTGTACCTGCAGATACTGTACCTGCAGATACTGTACCTGCAGATACTGTACCTGCAGATACTGTACCTGCAGATACTGTACCTGCTGATACTGTACCTGCTGATACTGTACCTGCAGATACTGTACCTGCAGATACTGTACCTGCAGATACTGTACCTGCAGTGAAGCAATATGGTTT